TTGTTAAATTTTGCTTATGACCCTAAATCGCTTTTACGAGCTGAGAAAAATGTTATGTCGCAAGGCCCGATTTCGCAAGATTCACGAGGCGCCAACAGCCACACCCACAGGGGGTGTGGTTTTGGAAATTTGATTTATTTCACCGAAATCCCCTTGACGAGTTGAGAAAGATGATATGTCGCATGCCGTGCATTGGTAGGGCATTCACCGAAGCGCAGATAGCCACTCCCCCCGCCCCCTCTGGTCGGCGACAATGTCAGGCGGTTCAGGGGATGGACGTAGGCAACACCAGGGCGACGTTAAACTCCAACAACCAAGGCTGGAGGAAATTTGTATGTATCTTAATTCGTTAGATCTTTTGACCACTCCCACATGACGCCGGGGCAGGGGGTGTGACTTTCATGCACATGCATGCAGAAAATCAATTTCGTGCGCATAAAAATATATAATGCGGCAAATTATATAAGAATCAGAACGGTGGAAAACAAAATATGGAAAAATTTGTTTGGCAATTTTCAGAAATAAAATTCCTTTTGCAATGAAATATTGGTGGTCATAAAGGGATGTTGATGAAGCTATGAAATTCTTTCCGGAACTACCTGTAATTTTTATTTTTACTCTGACTTCCAAATGATTTATTGCAGGATAAAAAAATATTGTGATTTGTGGTACACACTTATCTCACAGCTCAAGTATGTATCTATCTAATTAGGGAGACTATCCAGGCGATAGTCCTGTCCAGGGTATCCACTATGTTTTTTAGACTCTACGAGGACCCCAAATGAAGGAACCATTCTTATTTCCCTGGAAAACGCATATTTGGCGGCGTGGCGCCAAATTCGCCAAATTTGTATGGTTTTATTTTTAAAACTGCGAAAACTCTTTAAATCCTGGGCGGATTTTCAAAAAAATTCCAAAAATAACGAAAATCAAATTTCGTATGCCATAACATTTTTAAAAATATTGATTGTTTCAAATATTTTCAAGATTTTGCGATTTTCGTACAGAATAGGATTTGTCGAAATTTGTTTAAACATATCTCGCCAACAGCCACACCCACAAGGGGTGTGGTTTTGCAAATTTGAATTATGTCACCGAAATCCCCTTGACGAGTTGAGAAAAATGATATGTCGCAAGGCCTGATTTCGCAAGATTCATGAGGCGCCAACAGCCACACCCAGAGGTGGTGTGGATTTGCACATTTGAATTATGTCACCGAAACCCCCTTGACGAGCTGAGAAAAATGATATGTCGCATGCCGTGCATTGGTAGGGCATTCACCGAAGCGCAGATAGCCACTCCCCCCGCCCCCTCTGGTCGGCGACAATGTCAGGCGGTTCAGGGGATGGACGTAGGCAACACCAGGGCGACGTTAAACTCCAACAACCAAGGCTGGAGGAAATTTGTATGTATCTTAATTCGTTAGATCTTTTGATCTCAAGAACTGACCTTACGGTGAATTTTCAAACCCTACATGTTATCGCTTATGGCGAGGTCGGCCATTTAGCCTCTCAGAGAAATTAACATTGGCCGATGTTCTATTATTTCCGAGTTGACCATAATATAGTGCGTGATTAGCATGTATTAGGATGCCGAGTGCTACTTGTGGATGATGCCCACAACTGAGCACATACTTTACTAATTCTTTGATTTGTAAGATGAAACTATGTATGTATGCAATTTTAATGATTCTGTATGTAATGAGTGAACGATATGATTCTAAAAGCTTGCGATACATCAATCTCGAATAAACCATTGCAAACGGAATGTAGCAAAGGGGTGAAAACACATGTAAATATCCTTGTGGCACACCCACATCGTCTTCCAATAGAATTCCCGTCATTTTCCCCAATTGTCTCACATTACCCCACGTCTCATTTCGCCCCGTTTCGACATAACTCCCGCGTACTTTGAATGTACACGACTCTACTTTTCGATAGACATCCCACATGACATAATTCAATTTGTCGACACGTGGCGTCGTCAACACGGTCATCGTACGTCAAAATGATGTCGATTTTTGAATTCCCCCCTTAAAATACGTCTACAACAGTCGAAACAAAAAACTCGACACCTATTCGACACGGCGTCATGACCGTGGCGCCGTGACCTTACTACCTACAACGCCCATCTTCGAACTCATCCGTACTTCTAAAATTAGAAATACTTTGGCGAAAACCGCATTTCGAAATTCGCATCCGTTCTAAAGTTATCGTGGACAAAGTTATAACTTGTCGAAAGCTTGTGTTTGCTTAAATAAATACAATGTCCTCCATGAGATCCGAAAATTCACAATTTAATAATAAAAGCGCCGATAGCCACACCCGCAACCGCTCCCACTAAAATAATATGTCACCTATTTTGAAGTTGGTGTAAACAACGTAAGTATGATCTAAAAATGTTAATTAAGGTAAAAAACAAATTTCCGCCAAAAGGAAGAAAGTTGTTCATATTGTGACCTTACGACCTTGATATTAGGTCACTGGTGTCAGAATTAAAAAAATTCAAAATACGTATTGTAGAGAAGGCCAAACTATTTTTAAAACGTGTTATATTTTTAAAATTCGTTCCAAATTGAATTTTTGGGAGAATTTTTAATTTTACTGGTTATTAGCAGACGTCGGTTATGAATGATCGATAAAACCCCAAAATATGAATGCAATATTACCGTAAAAATCCCCAAAACATGACCATAAAACTGTGTTTATTTTTCTTAATTTTTGGTGTGTAATACGCTATTTTTATCAATATGATAGGTCCGCTAAAGCTCACTAACTAGGGAGACTTTCCAGATGATAGTCCTGTCCAGGGTACCCACTATGTTTTTTAGAATCTACGAGGACCCTAGATGAAGTATCCATTCGTATTTTTCTGAAAATCGCATATTTGGTGCCGTGGCGTGACGCCAAACTTAAAAATCTATGTTTTCGACAAATTTTAAACCTCTATAACTTTTGCAATTTCCGTGGGATTTTCAAAATTTTGGGCTTAAAATGAACACAAAGGTCAAAATTTTAAGAAATGTATACAAAATTAAATGTTTTTATTTTTTCGATATTTGTAAACAAATTTCGACAAATCCCAGTCTCCAAGAAAATCGCAAAATTTTGAAAAAATTTGAAACAATCAATATTTTGAAAAATGTCATGGCATACGAAAGTTGAACTCTTTTTCATGATTTTTGGAAATTTTTTTGAAAATCCGCCCAGGATTTCAAAAGTTATAGCGGTTCTAAAAATAAAAACATACAAATTTGGCGAATTTGGCGCCACGCCACGGCGCCAAATATGCGATTTTCAGAAAGATAAGAATGGATACTTCATCTAGGGTCCTCGTAGATTCTAAAAACCTCCAGTGCAGCCTTCATATAGCCCGAGTCAGGGATAGGATCCGATTGTTACCGTGTCCGACTTCTCCGAGAAACTATTACCACCCCCGTGGTGGGGCTGGTGCAATGTTGTATTACTTAGCACTAAATGTGTAAAGTTATTTGCAAATCCTTCACCTTGCCTACAAGGACCAGTTGGGGTCGCTTCTTTCAAACTTAGAAGTTACAAATTTGTATTTGCTCTATAGAAGTCATTTTTAGCCGCTGTGCCAAATTTCAGCTGCAACTAATGTCTTTCAAAAACCGGCATGGGTCACCCGGAAGGGTCTCTCTGGAGACACCATGCTCGCGTTTAACCTTATATTCGTTCTTAAGAAGCCCTTGAGTATCAAAGTACCGAATTTCATCTTTTTAAGACAACTTCTGAAAATCAGTATGGGTCATGCGATAGGGTCCCTATGCATAATAACTTTCCCAATTTCACTTCACATTTTTGCATTAGAGGCCATTAGCAACATCTATGCCAAATTTCGGCTCGATTGGACGATTTTGAAAAATCGGTATGGGTCACCCCATAAGTTGACTCCGGTTTAAAATTTTTCAAATTTGACTTCATATTCTTTCATTAGGAGCCATTAGCAACTACTCTACCAAATTTCAGCTTTCTGCGACAATTTTGAAATTTTGGTGCATAATACCCCACCCACCCACATGACCCCCACTGGTCCAAATCTTTTTTGATCGAACCCATGTTCGAACTCGGTCGTTGCATTGCCGAGATACATGTTTCTGCCATAAATATATCTCGGAGGGATGTTTCTGCCAAATTTCATCCAAATCGGTCAACTCGTTCTTGAGTAATCGTTAGTCAGACAGACAGACAGACAGACAGACATGATGATTACATAAGCCCTGACTCGGGCTAAAAACATAGTGGGTACCCTGGACAGGACTATCATCTGGAAAGTCTCCCTAGTAAGAGAAATCAGCTCTATCTCCGAATTTTAGAGTGGCAAATCCCGGCGTCTATCGTAAAGGAGATATTTGTTCACGCTAAAACTTCTTTATGCTTTCTTCTTTCTTTATTTCTTTACCGTGGTGATTATTGCAAAGGTAGGAGCTGCATTAATAGTTGTGAGTGCATTTTTGTAAATTTCTCACAATCAATCATTGTCAGAAAACTGCATTTTTGTAATTTTCTGGCAATTTAGTGGGGAAATTTCAAAAATTTGGCCAAAAGTCATAAAATGAATGAAAAAAACGAAATATGATAGAGAATATGGATACGTCCCAAAACCAGAACCAGGGTGTTTAGGTTATATAAATATGACAAATATGAGAAAATATGCTTTGACCTACGTGACCTACTGAGCGTAAACAATCTCAAGGAAAGATTGAGGACTGTAGGTTAATAAACGGAAAAAGTCATATCTCATTCATAGCCGACGTATGGTTATTAGTTATGGGCAAGGTCGGCCACGAAGCCTTTAAATACAAATGATAACTTACGCTTGTCTGGCATTTTTACACATATATACTGTTAAGCATAACACGCTGGTGCCTAACTAAATGAGTACGTACGGTCGCAATCTTTGTCATGCTTACCAGATGTACCTACATACATATATAGCTTAACAAATATCTGCAAATTTGTCCTCTCTCCAAAGCTGTAAAGCTCTCCTCCAGCTGTGATCAGTGCAGTCGTGACGGTGTAAACTTTAACAAAGATTGGTAATTGGTTTATAGGTAATACACACAAAAGTTAAGACACAATTGAATACAGAATATTGTATTTTTACAGTATCTTTATTTGTTTTAGAGTCTTGAGACTTAAAATAAATTAATTTACATTGCTTTGGTAACATCCACCACATTAAAATCACTTTTCTGGCAGGATAATTAAATTTATTTATTTAAACTTGTGTAAAATTTTAGGGTCAGCTGACGCAAGTTAAACAATTTTATTTTGACGCATTAATATACACTCACTATTGTTTTCTTATCAATTTTATTTTCCGTGTGCTGAAAACTGATGTCTGACTTACGTATAAATCTTGACACAAGTTTATAGTTGGCCAGAAAAAAATATTTTAGAAGTTAATAAAATGTACAGAGCTACACGAAAATCACGCAAATCGACGTCTTGACCTACGACAACGATCAAAAGACCATTACAGTATCGACTACGCCAAAGTTCAAAAGTAGAGCGCGTGACGGTACGTGTTGTTTCACCCCATGTTTATGTCCGGGTTTTAAACGGTTTTTTTGAAAAGTACTCAATTGATCAGAAACTACACCACAGAGAGCCGACGTGCAAGACCATATCACACCTAAACACTTATGATATGTCACGTAAATCGATAAATACATTCGCATAAATTAACCAAGCCTAAAGTTTTTTGCTCGACAATTTCTCAAACCTTTTTGAGTAAAATTTACTCGATATGGAAATTACCTAATTTCTTAAGAGCGTCTGACACTGGCGCAACTAGGGGTAGGTGTGGGAGGTCCCACATATCGGCCCCGCCACTGTACAGCCCATTAGCTTCAAATGCTAGTGTGCAAATATTATTGGATTTTGGCAAAAACGGCCCTTCAAATTACCCAACATACCGGCCCCGAATCCATAATCCTGCTAGTGGCGTTTGATATTTTCGGACAACTTTTGTTGTAATTCTTGAGTACAATAAATCATTCTTGGTAATCATAGTGCTTTAATTTTGTAATATACAGGATTTCCCTCAACTTACGTCCAATGTCGATTCTCAACTTCAACGAGGACGAAGTATTTCAAAGCCTGCAGTGGACAAATATGTGGGGAGTTCCAGGGATAAGTGAATTCCTAATTCTAAATTCAAAAACCCAGGCCCAGCACAACCTCATAGTAGTTGATAAACGCCTCTCCGGTAACCCTATTGTTACAAACCGTCTCAAAAAATTCGAACTGTTCGCCATGCTGGACCATCCTTGCCTTTATAAAATTCAAATTATCCACCGCACCTTTTCCCGTGACGAAATTCTGAGCCTGGATACTCTAAAGATTTCCCCGGTAGACAGGCCCGAGACAGGTTTGCATCAAATGGGCCGGAGAGCTTAAAAACAATTTTTACTATCAGATTTCACCGGGGAACAGAAAAAATGGGTTAAGGTGGGAAAAATATAGTTTGAAGGCGCTTTGACAAATTTGACAAATGGCAAAAATTAATATATATTCATACTATGCTATTTATGGTGCCCGTAACACCTATGCAATGAACGTACTTCTGTCAGTTTGTTTTCTATCTCTGCGCCATACCTCTCAACTGAAATTGAAAATGTACGAGGGCTGCGAATCCGATCCAATTGAATGTGCTTGATAATATGTACGTGCAGTTACCCGATCCCATCCGATCCGGCAATGTTACATTTATCCGGATGCACAGCCTACACGCAGGTGCACTTGTATGGAAAACCACCCTTAGCTTTCGTTTTCTATCTAGTGCTTCATATACAGGCCGAGTGTCAGGAGGGTAGAGATTCCTTTAAATGTTGGTGTTAAAGCTGTGCAAATCTATCAGTTGATTACAAATCGGAAATTGTAAAATATAATGTACGAAACTGTTGTTATGTATGCCGGTGATCGGAGTAACGTTGGGTTCCCGAACATATAGTATAAGTAGTGTTTATTGATACATATATGGCATGCAGCCCTGATCCACATTTGGATCGCGAACATACCGTAAATACTCTATTTATAGCCGGGACTAAAATCTAAAACTGAGCCTCACAGACCCGGCTAAAATTAGAGACCGGTTATAATTAGAGACCCGGCTAAAATATGTTTCCGCTATAATTTGATACATTACAAGATCAGGCATAACTCAAGTTAACACAATTTAAGGTTTGTGTTGTTTAATAAGATATGCCATTAGGACAGCGTTCACCGAAAATTAAAATTAAATCATCCCCTCTCAACAAGATTTAGTAGTTTTTTTTAAATTTTCGGTCACCGTGGTACACATTCTTATTAACTCACTCTTTGATTAACCAAATATGCGACATTTTCGAAGATGCTGCTAATACAAACAGCGGACAAGACATGCCATAATTAGAGACCCGGCTACAATTAGGAACCCGGCTATAATTAGAGACCCGGCTAAAATTTTAGAATCCTGGGCTCCAGACGCAGCAATAAATAGAGACCGGCTATAAATAGAATAGGGCTATAAATAGAGTATTTACAGTAGTTAGATTTCTGAAATCTGAAATTCATTTTCGAGAAAGTTAACTTTCTTCATAACGAAATAAATACGGGGCCATAATTCTTCCCACTTGGATATTTGTAAAAACTTTTTTCCTCTACATATTTCCCGCCTATTTTATATTATCGAGAAAATAATTGTTTTAAACCTTGACTATAGGTGACCGTATTTCCCCAACTTATGGACGAATCAACAGTGGATACAATTTGCTTAAAATTGGAACATCCCCACCGTCTTACTGCTATAGCGTGGGTATTTTCTAACCACTATCGAAGAGATTCCCCAACATTTCACCAGCAACAGGTCGTCATCTTGCAAAATTTTATTGAAGTCATGAAATATTTACACTCGAAAAATATATGCGTCGGGAATTTACTGGGCAGTACGTTCTTCTGCGGGGAAAGTGACACAACATTAAATTCCCCGCTGATTAAGGTTAACTTACCAAATGGATTGGCTCCCGTAGGCGAGGCTACATTCAGTATATAGAGATATAGAGGGCTTGGCATCTGTATTTATGGAAGTGTTAATCTGGGGGAACCCATTAGTTAGAAATATCGAAGAATTATCAATACTGGAGAATATCGTATCTGTCGACCAAATCCAAGTGGATGTGATAAATCGGGATAACAAATGATGAGTTTCCTAAGAGACCCGGCAGCAACGGGATGGCTGGATAAGATACAATTTACTGGCTATCTTGGGTCAGGGGCGTTTGGTTTGGTTTTGTCGGCAGTACATGGACAGGATGACAAGGTAGAGCCACTATCAGCTATAATATTGCAAAAAATCCGGTGTAAGTTATTTTGCCCTGGGGTGTGAATTTCTTGAGTTACTAGGGTATGATAACTTTTTCGAGGTGTTGTGGTTTTGCTGTGTTTCGGTATCATATCGAAGCAAACCCCGATGAGGTTTTCAATTTTGATAAAGACACTAAATGCTGCGAAGCATTTAATGTAAGTGCAGGAACTCTTATTTCGCATATGTAGTACAAGCTTGAGAAACAGCCAATACCCCGAATACCCGCTGAAACCCCGAAAATAAACTAAAACACTGTAGCGCATGGGCTTCCAATAGAGCAACTCTGGTGTTCTCCTTACACTGATTTTGATAACTTTCCACCTTTGAGTATGATTTTGTAATTATTTCATTTATACTGACATGTTCCTTTCTGACATTACAATCTAGTCCGCAGAAGCTCCGACTAGCCCAGACGAAGTTTATTACACCGCTGTCAAAATCGTTGCGGGACGAGAACCAAATTCAATGGATTACGATGACGACACTAATGGCAATACAGAAACGCCGTATGCAACAAACACAAATTATACGACTTCCGAACCAACCCAACTGTCCAAAGTGAGGTGGGAATTTCAAAACATGAAAGCTACTCAACATCCAAACCTGACCAAACTGTATCAACTCAAAGAAATCAATTTTACGCTCAAACAAATCCAATCCTTACCCAGGGTTCTCGACGCTGATTATACCAAGTTTAAGTGGATGCTGGAGAAAATGGCGAAACTGAATGAAACCGTTTACTGCATTGAGATGGAATTATGCGGCCCCAACCTACGAACTTGGTTAGACAAGGTATCCCCTATAAGTTCTGAAGAATTCGACAATATTAGATTGGCCATTATTCGTGACATAATCGAAGGTATGAGATACCTCCACGGCAAGAATATTCTTCATCGAGACTTCAAACCTGCCAATATATTTTTTGCTTCACACGAGAATATGTTTCCCGTAAAAATCGGCGATTTTGGGTTATCTCAGACATCTTCCTCTGCCATATTTGTGACCGATATTGAAAACAACGACGATCGGCTGATCGCTAACTCCAGCTACCACACCGCCAACGTTGGCACCTACTTGTATCAAGCGCCAGAAATGAAAAATCAAACCATGCCTCGAACCAGGTATGGGAAACAAGCCGATATTTTCAGCCTCGGACTAGTTTTACTGGAAATTGTGCAACTCTATAAGACAAGGCAGGACCGGGTGGAAGCATTTACTTCAATCGTGGGCAGAAAGGACTTCACAGTAATTTCCGATGCTGATAACTTGGTCATAACTACCAACGTAAAACAATTAATTATCCACATGACTGCGAAAGATCCTAACTCTAGACTTGCCTCAATGTTTAACGTCTCGTTGTCGGACCGGAAGTACGTACTAGAACGTCACAGCAACTGCAAAATCATTTGACCCTCCCTGGAACAATAATACTATCCGAGGGAATTTACAACGGACCTTTTCTGGTTGATATAGACTGCATCCATATTAAGGGCACATCCTCAACAAGTACTATTCTACAAATTTACGATCTTTCCATCGGTGACCCTGTCATAACCATGACCGGGAACAACTGTTCCATTTCCAACGTTACCATTCTTGTTGGTCCTAACAACCAAGGCCTTTTAGTGGCCGGAGCTAACAACGAGGTGCATAATATCACAGTTTCCAGCATCAGGTCATGTCTTGGTTTACCAAGACTTTTACCGTCTAGAAGGTAATGGTGTGTTTCTTCAAGGTGCCCGCACAAACCTGTCCGATTGTACTCTTTCAAATGTCAAATGCGGTATTCAAATCCGCCACAAGGGTTACAGTAACTTAAATCGCGTCAATCTTACCATGTGCGCCACCGGAATAGAAGTCGCGCATGGCGGGAATACCATTTCAAACATTTACATCAAAGATTGCAGCAAAGGAATCGAATTGGATCGTAGCGACATTAATGTTCTTGAGGACATTATCTGCGTTTTAGGCGATCAAATTCCTAAAACTATTGGATCCCACGGGATCTACGTAAGACACGGAGAGCGAAACGTATTGAGAAGAATTTTCTGCAAGAATTATAGAAGTGGGGACGACTATGGGATTTACACGCAACACACGCAACGCTTGGAAATATCGAACAGTAGATTGACTAGCCGTATTTATTTGGGTGGCAATCATAATCAGATGCAAGACGTGGATGTTGCCGATCAATCAATCGAGGTTGATGGCGAACAAATACGGTTAATCAAATGTGCAGCAAAATTATTTAAAAGTTTTGTAGACGAGAAACAATTTGTATGTGAACAGTGTGACTTTGGTGACATTCAAATGCAAAAAAGATGAAAATTCGAGATGGCGATGTAGGGCCAGGGAATTAAAAATAGATCAGCATTACATTTCCAAATGAGTAATAAATTATATTAATAATATAAACGAATTCACGTAAATAGTTTCATCTCATAATAAGCAATCCTATCAAACTTTCATAATAAGTATATATATCTTACTGTATATATAGAGGGTTTACTTATTCATATAATGGTAGGCCTTAATATCCACAGGCAGCACAACTTATATATACTTATATATTAAAAATAATATATTCTGTTATTGTAGAAAATCTAAATTATACCTAAATTGAATTTACTGAATTTATTTAAACTGAGACAAAGTTAGTGTTTAAAATATGTGTCAAACTTACCAAACAAAAATGCACACAATAAAATTGGCAAAATATCAAAATTTACCTAACAGTCAACCAAAATGTGAGTGGTGTACTTAATTACTACTAGAATCTGCCGGGTGACTAACCCAGTCAAACTAAACGAGTACATTTATCGTCATACTTATATATGTACAATCCTACCGCATGTTGTGGTAAATTGTGCCAGTGTAGTTGAAATTTACTAGAACTGAATTTGAGCTTAGATAAATCCTTTCTTAATTCATTAACCTAAGAATAGATTTATCTCAGCTCAAATTCATTTCTAGTAAATTTCAACTGCACTTGTTTGTTCACCTATAAATTAAGCTCATATTACAACAAATCTCACTAATTTTGATGCAGAAATGAAGGAGATGGTGACAATTGAAAGTATACATGTGTGCTTATGGGACGGACGAGTCCAACTTGAATAGGGGTGCTAGGAATGTCATCCAATTCGACCATAAAGCAATATTTTTTACAAGGAATGGTCGTGAGCGAGACCCAGAAGATGCGCCTAGTTTTAGTAGATTCTAAGTGACATATTTGTAATGATGGATTTTATTATTTTGAGTTAACATAAAAATAATAATTTTACGAGAATAGATATTCCCCCGCTTGCAAATAATTTGCTAGTTATATTTACAACAATTATTTAATTAAACTCGAAACTCACGAGGATAACGCAAAGTCAAACCAATCTTGAACATTATTACAACATTTTCAACAATCAATTGATCGATGGCATGTGATATCGGTCCGACTAATTGCATTTCCATTTCCATTCGCAACCATTCTTGTAAAAAGTTGTGCAATATGCATTGTAAACTAATCAGTATTGATTGTACATGCTAATTGTGCCACTTTACTCTTTATCTTATCTATCAACAAAATCAGTTGACTTCGTAACACACGTATGTAATAAGTTACCAGGACTACAAGGATTTTGTCCTGCTTCATTGAATTGCTACTCGTCGAAGAATGTTGTCCAAGCATTATTTCTCGTTACTGCTCGTCTCCTTTTTAAGTGTAGGGAGATGCCAGGATGACGATGGAATTTATAAAGTAGGAGTAGGTATTGGGGACATAACTGGGCCACCTGCCGGAACTCCACTGGTACTAAATCCCACACATTATTAAAAAATATAAAAATTACTGAAAATCATTCTTCATTCCCAGAATGGATTCATCGGTTGGCTTCAAGCCGCCGGGATATACACTCGGCAGTACGCCCGAGCTTTTGCCGTTGAGTCCGTCACCTCTGGTAATGTGGTGGTCTACATCACCTGTGATATGGGAATGATCGACCATTCGCTCGTCGAACAAGTTGTTCTCAAGCTACAGAGAAAATATGGAGAAAAAATTAGTGTGAAGAATATCATGGTTTCCGCAACTCATACACATTCTGGCGTCTCGGGATTCATGACGTATTATGCCTTTCTGTTGATTGAGTCGAAGGGATTCAATCCTGTTTCTTATTGGTAAGCAAAGCTGTTCAAAAAATATTTATTTATTCAATCTTCATTCATTCAAAATCTGGAAGCTATTATTCATTCATTATTCATTCATTTAAAATTTGGAAAATATTATTCATTCATTATTAAGTAGCGTCAGCTACTTATTGTGATCGTTTTGTCCGTCCGTCCGTCTGTCCGTCCGTCCGTAAGCAGGATATCTCGAGAACGCCTGAACGAAATCAAACGCGGTTTTCGCCATTGTGCTTCTAATTTTTAGTTCTCGGTCGAGTTCGATACCCAGGTCAACCGGACCACCCCCGACAGCGCCAGGGGGTGTGGTCGAAAATCAAATTTAACCTTAATTTTCATATGGGGTGTCATTTTAAAGGAAATTTCGACACGAATTCAACGACGCCAATATTTTTGACTTTTGACGTCGTGGTCGGGGTCCTGGGGTCAAAAAACACTTAATTTTCATGGGGAGTCATTTTGTAGGAAACTTAGGAAAGGAAGGAAACTTAAGAAAGAAAAGGAAATTTAGGAAAGGAAACTGACCACGCTGACGCTACTTTTTTATATTCGTTTGGAGAGTTTATTCACTGATTCATTCATTTCATTGATTTTATTCATTCATTTATTCATTTATTCATTCATTTTATTCAATTTCGTATTATTAAATGGATTTCTCAATACACACCATGCATTAAGCATTGGGGGAATATCAATAATGAATAAAATTATTCACTCATTCTTCACTCACATGAACTAAACGAATGCATTGTAAGGGAGAGCACTGAGAAGAAGATGTAACCCTCGTGGGGTTAAAAGTAGAGCGTAACTGAGAGCGCGTTACGTCGTGTCGAGTGTCCGAGAGGAGAAGTGCCACTTACATATAGAGACAGAGCGAGCGGTCGGAACGCTGTTTCTGCGTGAGAGTGGATAAACAAGACTTAAGTGGGACTTGGCTCACTGTTTATTAGTTATGGCAATGCATTATATTATGCCTTGTGTTAGGAATGGATGAGTGGTGTTGAGGCAGGCTGAGACTGGGAAGAGAGAGCTGGGCTCAAAGCGTTAAATGGATAACTATGTGCAGAGTAGTAAATATTAGACCACCACTTATTGTGGGCGGATTTGCTTCAGTTTGTTAACCTCCTTGACATTTTAGGTTATGCATGCATTATGAATGCATTAATTGTTCTTAGTTAAATACGACATGATTTGATCATAAATAAATTAGTTGCTGAATGTACTCATGGAGCAGTTGATCTGAGCATTTAATTCAACAGTTATACGAGGTATACTCGTGTTATATAAGAGTTATGTGGTGGACTGGAGTCGAAGTAGGAATGTGGTGGTGGCGGTGGATAGTGACTACTAGGGCATCCCGCAAGACGGGATAAGACGGGACATATACGTCTTGTTACCATCGACGGGACGAAACTTCAAGACAAGACGAGACGGCAACCCGTCCCGTCTTGTCTTGCGTCCCGTCTTGCCCGTCCCGTGAAAGACGGGACAACACGGGACATACATGTTTTAAATAGGTACAATTTGCTGTCAAAATTTATGCTCCTTTCAAGAAGCATGATACAAATTGTTTTCACAGACTAAAAAATAATTTCTACCAAGCTTCGGTTGTTAAAAATCAGATTGTCCAGTGCACTGTCCAGTGCAAGAAAAAGTGGAAAAGTACCCTCTTTACTACAACTATCTAAAACATGAGTGATGAAAACCAACTAATTTCGTTTTTGACCGATCCAAAACTGTCATTTGATATTTTCAAAATTTTATTTCATGGTCACATTCCTTCTACATCAGGTTCACAGGAAATAAGGTTCTGATCTGTACGATTCAATTTGAACAGTGATAAATTTCGTTTACTAGAATTAGTGTTCCCAAATGTAGTACGTACTGGCAATAATCTTGGATATGTTATAAAACATGTGGGAAAATGATTCCATGCACTAAATTTCAATAGAATTTGCATTTTATCAGGATTAAAATTTTGCTGAAGTTATATTCGATTCAAAATATATTACATTTGTCCCTATTTGAATGCAATTTTGATATTTGGGACGAAAATATAATATTTTCGATGGTCGCAAGACGTCCCGTCTTGCCGGGATAAGACCTGGCTTGTCCCGTCCCGTGCCCCGTCTTGCTTTTCAAAACGCGGGACGTAAATTTCCGTCTTGTCCCGTCTTGTTATCCCGTCTTGCCGGGACAAGACAAGACTGTCCCGTCTTGTGGGAATCCCTAGTAAGTACATAACTACATAGAGGTAATCGCCAATCTCTGGCTGGTTAGTTAGAGAGTAATTGCATACATACATGTGCAGGAAGAGGACTCGTCGCGAGTCAAGAACACTGTGTTTTGAGTGAGAGCTCGGACGCTCTTTATATAGTGGGCTGCGGGTATCGCACCCGCATTAAGTTAGTTGGCCTTCACGGCCAAGACCGTCTCTGACCTTATCTAGACTGGTTAATTAAATTAATTAAGTCGACGCGATGGAATCCGCGTTGTGTAGGCTTTCGGCTCTACAGCATATCTATTACTCATTCATTCAACTAATTATTATCAACACTTTAATTCAAACTAATAACTGTACCTTCATCGGCCCGAAGCGGCCTCTATAGGGATTGAATGAATCTTATCTTATTATTCATTCATTCAAAAAGTTTGAAGAAATTATTCATTCATTCAAAAAGTTTGAAGAAATTATTTATTGATTATTCATTGGTTTGATGAATAATAAATTAACAATTCATTCATTTTGTATTGAATGAATGTGAACAGGTGTGCTGGTAAGTAGAGAGCTATTGTCGGATAGGTAATATGATAGGTAATCAGATAACGAGACCTATCTCATCTGATATTGGAGACCCTGGAGTACAGTTTATGCTCACAAGGGACACTATACAAGTGAGCGGACCATGCAGTGTACCCACTATGATTTTTAGAATATACTAGGTCCCAAGATGAAGGATCCATTCGCATTTCCTTGTAAAACTCACATTTGGCGCCATGGCGTGGCGCCACATTACCAAATTTTAAATATTTTTAATTTTAAAACCGCCGTAACTTTTGAAATCGTATAGGGATTTTCAAAATATTTAGCCAAGAATATGACAGCGAATCGAACTTTCCAACTGTATGAAAGTCTTCAAAAAATTAATTGTTGCATTTTTTCGAAAATTTTTAAGGCCGGAGATTCGTCTCCAAAATCGTATAAATATTTCGAAACAAATAATTTTTTAATATTCTCTTTTTTCTTAAGATCTTTACCTTTGTGATCATTTTAAACACAAAATTTTGAAAATCCCACGGAAATTGCAAAAGTTATGGAGGTTCGAAATTGGTCGAACACTCACTAGGGGTACTTTTCAAGTGATAGTCGTATCCAGGGTACCCACTATGTAATTTAGATTTGACTAGAACACTAGATGAAGGATTCATTCACATTTTCGTGTAAGTCTCATTTTGGCGCCGTGGCGTGGCGCCAAATTTAAAACCTACAGTGCAGACTTGATATAGCCCGAGTCAGGGAGAGCGTCCGCTTAGTGTTTGTCACAATTGACCGGACTTTTGTCACACCCTCTCTGGTTGCAGTTTGCTCACTTTTAACGTCGAAGTATCGCGGTGCTGAATTTCAGCTTTTTACGACAATTTCTAGAAATCGGTATGGGTCACCGCATAGGGTCCCTCCACGTAAAATTTTTAAAACTTTGCTTCATGTTCTTCCATTATTGCCCATTAGCAACTCCAATGACAAATTTCAGCTCGATATGATGATTTTGAAAAATCGGTATGGGTAACCCCATTGGGACCCTCCAGACGAAAATTTTTCCAATTTGAACTCATATTCTTCCATCAGGACCCATTACCAACCTCTGTACCAAATTTCAGCTTTCTAGCACTATTTTGAGATTTTGGTGCATAATACCCCATCCACTCATATGACCCCCACCGGTCAACCACTTGACCGATTTTACCCATCTTCGAACTTAACTCTTCATTTGACCCATACTACATGTGTGCAAAATTTCAAGTCGATAGGATGAGTTTAGCGACAGTTATCGCAAGACAGACGGACGTGACGGGTACATAAGCCCTGACTCGGGCTAAAAATCTCCGTTTTCGACCAATTTTGAACCTCGATAACTTTTGCAATTTCCGTGGGATTTTCAAAATTTTGGGCTTAAAATGATCACAAAGGTCAAAATTTTAAGAAATGAATAAAAAACGAAATATTTTTATTTTTGAGATATTTTAAACAAAGTTTCGCCAAATCCCAGTCTCTAAGAAAATCGCAAAATTTTGAAAAAATTTGAAACAATCAAAATTTTGAAAAACTTCATGGTATACGCAAGTCGAACTCTTTTTCATGATTTTTGGAAATTTTTGCGAAAATCGGCCGCCCAGGATTTCAAAAATTATGGCGGTTTTGAAAATGAAAACATTCAAATTTGGCGAATGTGGCGACATAGTGGGTACCCTGGACACGGCTATCACTTGAAAAGTACCCCTAGTCAGATTTTTAAGTTTTGCGCCACGCCATGGCGCCAAATATGAGTTTTACACGGAGATACGGATGGATCCTTCATCTAGGGTCGCAGTAGATTCTACAAAACATAGTGGGTACTAGAGGTGAGTCGAGACTAGGATTTCCAAAGCCCGGCTCGCCCAAGCCCGACTCAAAAGCCCTACCCAAAAACCCGACCATATTCAAAGCCCAACTCGAAAGCCCAGGCCCGCCCAAGTTCAGATCTTAAAAGCCCAAGCCCGCCCAAGGCCAATGGGCTTTTAGTTGAGAAAGCCAGCCCAGGCCCTAGCCCAACGGGCTTTTAACCCAGGCCCGTCGTTTTCTTGTTGTGGCGTGAAGACTTGCAAGTAATACATTTAATACAATTAATAAATCCTAGGGTGGCTAAATAATAATGAAACGAATGCAATGATAATCACATAGAGCAAAACCTTTAATCAACATGTTTCAAACAGTAGTATTAACTATTTTCACTTTAAATGTACGCAAAACAGTTTATGCCAATAAGTACATAAGGCGTAACTCCGAGATTAGCACTCGCCTAACAAGTTCAAGTAGATTGTGATCGTCTTCCTCACGACACAGATTTCTTAAATTCCTGCTCTCACAGCGATAAACAATAGTTTATTCTAAAAATGGTGGGCTGGAATAACTTTATAAGTGAAAATCCTAATAGAGAACAATAATGAATTGTGAGGTATGATTTCTACTAGTGCACGCTTTGTAATAAATTTGAGGACTGTCTCACATCAGGAAAGGGATATGAGTGGGGCTTTTTTCGGGCCCGACGTAAAGCCCGACTCAAAAGTAAAGCCTGCCCAAGCCCGGCCCGAGTAAAAAGCCCAACTCAAAACCTCGACCCACCCAGGCCTGACTCAAATTTCCAACTCAAAAGCTTGGCCCGCCCAAAGCCCGTTGGTCCTGGGCGGTCTCGAGCAAGCTCGAAAAAAGCCCAGGCTCGGCTCTCCTCTAGTGGGTACCCTGGACGCTACACCCAATCCAATAGTGTCCCTTGTCAGATATAAAACAATCTGAATCAAGCGATAGATATAAATTCTCTAAATTTTTGATTTAGTTTTCATCTTTAATGCTATAATAGGAATTCTATTGATGGTATCTATGAGGCGGTTGATAACGCCCTAACTTCCGCCCAACTTGGAAGGATATACTACACCAGTGGAGTGCTGGAAAGGGTGAATGAAAATAGGCGGAGGGAGGGGGCCTACTTGAGAAACCCGCAGTGGGAACGGGATCTCTATAACACGACCGTAGATGTGGTTATGGACCTTTTCAAATTTGAGACTTTGGATTCAACCCCTCTCGGAGCGTTTAATTGGTTTGCTGTCCATCCTGGCGATTTCAATGAAGGAGGCGACAATCCTCTTGGTAGATAAATTTAACTATTACATTTCCATAACATTTTCATTAGTGTGAACATCACCGCTTTTTAGTGTCTTCTGACCACAAAGGATATGCGTCTCTATTGTTCGACTACAAGATGAATCCTGGAAAACGACCGGGACAAGGTGATTTTGTATCTGGGTTTGGGTCTGCAAATCTTGGAGGAGTTTATACGTCATGGGAAGAAGCCGATGTTCCCCCACGGCCACAACCCGAAGATCCAGATGTTACTCCCAGACTGCTACGGTATATTAAACGCAACATTAAATTTCCTTAATTTAGCTATATTTTGATATATTTATCTTATGTCAGAATGAAATACGCCGGGCAAAGACAATTTGACCATGCCTGGGCTTTATTTGAAAATGTTGAGAACCACAATTTGGTAACCGGTCCGATCGGGTATTCCCATCATTTTGTTGATGTTCATGTTGAGAATGTTCCGCACTTTAATGAAAGCTCTGGGGAAGTTGAGAATGTCTCGCTGTGCAAGGCTGCCATGGGGGTTGCATATTTCAGAGAATTCGATCCTGAGGGGGAACTGTGGGAAATTATTCGTGACCTGATCAAAGTTCCTTCAGAAGAAATGACCGAATGTCAATTGTAAGTGGAATTTCGGTACAATAATTCTAAAACGAGCAATGTACTCATTTGTTGGATTTTAAAAACACCATGCGTCGGACTAATTCTAAAACAACCTAAGTGACATCGCTTCTTAATTCGAAAACAACCTAAGTGACTTAACTTCTTAATTCGAAAACAACCTAAGTGACTTAGCTTCTTAATTCGAAAACAACCTAAGTGACTTAGCTTCTTAATTCGAAAACAACCTAAGTGACATCGCTTCTTAATTCGAAAACAACCTAAGTGACTTAGCTTCTTAATTCTAAAACAACCTAAGTGACATCGCTTCTTAATTCGAAAACAACCTAAGTGACTTAGCTTCTTAATCCGAAAACAACCTAAGTGACTTCGTTTCTTAATTCGAAAACAACCTAAGTGACATCGCTTCTTAATTCGAAAACAACCTAAGTGACTTAGCTTCTTAATTCGAAAACAACCTAAGTGAGTTAGCTTCTTAATTCGAAAACAACCTAAGTGACATCGCTTCTTAATTCGAAAACAACCTAAGTGACTTAGCTTCTTAATTCGAAAACAACCTAAGTGACATCGCTTCTTAATTCGAAAACAACCTAAGTGACTTAGCTTCTTAATCCGAAAACAACCTAAGTGACTTCGTTTCTTAATTCGAAAACAACCTAAGTGACAATAAAAACTATAGCTTTTACTGTCACTTAGGTTGTTTTCGAATTAAGAAGCGAAGTCACTTAGGTTATTTTCGAATTAAGAAGCGATGTCACTTAGGTTGTTTTAGAATTAGTCCGACGCATGGTGAACACGAATAATGTGTAACTTAATTTAACTTTTCAAAAACTTTCCCAATAAGCAACTTTGCACTTTTTCGAACCAGTGATGCTATTTTAAGCTTTCTTAATTCTCTTCCTACAAGGCCTAAAGGAATCATGATCGCTGCCGGCGAAATGGACGAACCATGGGCATGGGCACCGAGAATCTTTGCCGTTCAATATTTTCAAATTGGCACGATTTCCCTGCTCGGGTTACCCGGTGAGTTTACAACTATGGCGGGCCGAAGGGTACAACGAGCTCTGAAAAACGTCACAGAATCCACCGTTATTCTTGCTGGACTTTGCAATAACTACATAAACTATGTCACCACGCCGGAAGAATATGATTATCAAGCATTTGAAGGTGGCGCCACCATTTTCGGAAAGAACACCGTGCCTTTAGTGACGTATTGGATGACTGAAATGGCCAAGGCTGTTAAAGAGGTTAATAGGCCATGCAAATTTTATACCATGAATACTATTTAAAGGCTTAGTTTTAAAAATTGCTAAATTCTGACATATTTATATTACTTGCACTTCGGTCTTTTCAGCCAAAGGGAGAATTCACTCTGTCTAAAATTAACGATTTTTGTTATAATGCTACTTACGCAGAATGACCCTGACAGAATTCCAAGTGGACCATCTCCTCCGTCTTTTCTGGATTTAATGAGAACCGAAGTAGTCCCCGCACCTGACCCTCTCCCACCTCTTAAATTTGGTTCCGTTATTCGTGATGCCGAACCGGAGTATGACAGTGCCACAGACATAGAAATCTCTGTCGTATTTATTGCGGGATCACCACGCAATTCGGGCTTAAGGAAGGGGACATTCTTCATAGTTGAGAAGAAAATTGAAATAACTGGGCGCTGGGGTGTTTGGAGGACTGATGCTGATGTGGATACTTTGTAAGAATCTGCTTAATCTTGAAAAACACACAACGCGAGTACTTTCTGGTATTTTTCATATTGAGAAACTTTTTCTATAAGAAAAACATGCCTCTACGTCAATACTTTAAATAAGAAATTTCGTTTTTTTTTGATAATGTAAAATACTTAAGTTAATTATTTTTGCAGGTTCCATTGGAGGGGACCTGAGATCCGAGAAGTAGAAGTACGGTGGTTCCTCAGCCCCGACATGGAACCCGGAACATATAGGATTCGGCATTTTGGATACTATAAGTTAACAGTGGAAGGAAATATGCATAACTATGAGGGAAAATCGAGGGAATTTTTAGTGAAATAATTAATTGCACGCATATTGTTAGCAACTGCGTTCGAAATTAAACTCGGTTTATGTATATGACACAAATTGTGTTGTATATTTAATTAATCAAATGAATAAATTAATGCACACCAAGTTATTTCGATTGGGAATGTTATGAAATTTTGGTCTATCAAAAAACGTAAATGTATAACGAATAAAAAATAATATTTGCAAAAGTTTAAGCATTAATGTTAAAGCAAATCACGATCATGTGCATCACACTTAGAAAAGGTAAACCTTCGTTTCTTACTGGGAATGCAGATACGGGGTACATGAGAGTTGGTCCTATCCAATCCGGAAGAAATTGAAACTCCATTCTGCACGTTAAAATAATGCGAGAGAGCATAAATTTGACATAGAACTATGGGAAATATTGTCTAATTTGGAAATCCAAAAACCGATGGTAATTATCTTGAAATCTAAAAAAATTTGGTCAACAAGAGCAGAGGAACTTGCGAAGCTGCGACTGCCATGAAAAAGTGAATAATGGTCGTGATCGGAAGTTAACACACTGCCACTTCAAAAATAAAGGAAATCAAAATTCAACTATTTATGGCATTATTTATGGGTGTGAAGCGAATGGGCTTGCATAACACAAAAATTTTAAACGTCGCCGTACTCGTGTAGCCACATCCCAAAGTCATCATGAAAGTGGGAACATATAAAAATACAACCTAGTCATATCGGAGCAAAGTGTGGCCCAGCCACTTCATATTTCGAAAACAATCATACACAGAATTAAAGCTGACAAGTTGAGCATTAAGTCGTTTAAAGCTCGAGTTTTTTCAAAGTACACAAAATATAAGAAATATCGTCGAAAACCAATTGGCGCGAGCTCGCTCAAAAAAAGCAGAATATCATCAGAATTTCTCGTCGTAGGTGACGAGCCATGCTTTCCGGCTGATTCAGACGACCTACCGAGAGGAAATTTGGCAAATTTTCGACCCTTTGGTGAGTATCCCGAAATCTGTGGTCAAAACGGCTACAATGAACTTTGATTGATTTTGTCGAGAAAAAGAATAATGCCCAACACGTCCGGGAGGCTAGACCAATTTGAAAGACTTTTTAATTTGTGCAATGCAGAATATCATAATGCAACAGATAACGCAAAAAATGTGAATTCATTTCGTCGGACCTTGTCAAACATCTCGAAGAAAGTAACCAAAACCAGTGAAAGGGCACTCATGGCGTCGGTCAGATATAGGCCGATCCAGATTGGAGGAGGAGGGACGTGTGACCCTCTGCATTCAAGAACTAATTATTTGAGAACTAATTATATGACAAGAATTTTTGCCGAAATATATTGATTGGTTATTTTTCTATGAAGTTGCAATTTCTTCCGGATTGGGTAGGACCGAGCCTTATTAACAAAATTTATTCGGTGACATGTAGAATTTCATTAAAAAAGTTCAACTTATATATATAGGATTCTCCATTTACCCATATAGGGGATGTGGTCACATCCAGGACATAACCCATTAATATTTTTCGTTTCAATCGTTGCATTTGGCACGCTTTATACAAAAATCTCACTTTACCCAAGGCCACCCCACTGAATAGGTCTCTAATGGCACAATCCCATAATATCCAACATAACTATTATTTAATTGGGTTACTGCGCCACGGACCTTGTTAACGACACCCGGCTCGGTAGTGTAATCTCGGTAGTAATTCAAGATTCTTGTCTTTCTCAAGTGTCTGGCCGATGGTGGGTGAAAACCACGACTGGGTATAATGTCACGAGTTCCCTAAATAGCTTTATAACGACACACAACTCGATGGGTTGAAAATTAAATAAAATCCTTAACTTGGGGTTATGGTTGGAGTGACCAAGTAAACTGTGGTCATTTGACTAACCTTTCCTCCGTGACAAAATATTTGTGCCGCATGACCAATTTGGCTTAAATAATTACAAAAACGCCAAGTCACACCCTAACCACTCTCGGCTGACTTATTTTGAAATTTCGCCAAGGCAGAAGAACGCTCGATTTCGAAATGATAATTTTATTCTCAAAAATAAATTTTCCCATAAGGAAGAAAGTTCATAATTCTTCCTTGACCTTTATTGTATGTCAGTCGGATCGAAATTAAAAATTTTGAAAGTACATATTGTGGGCAGGGCCATACTGTTTACAAAACATTAAAACTTTGAGAATCCGTATGGAATTGAAATTTTGACGTATATTTGAAAATGCAAGAATTTCAAGCATTTTACCATGCATCAGATAAGGCTCTTAAAATAAGACAAATTGTCGTCACTGTCTTTAAACTTTCAGCAATTTGCATTATTGCAGGTGGTTTTCTATGCAAATTTTAATAACGTAACCCGGGAAATAAATATCAATACGAAATAAACATCCGGCTCCACAAAATTATTCTCACTACTAATTTTGCTTAAGTTGAAATTTCAGTGTTTCTACTCAAGAGGCGAGCATAAAAATTCGGTAAAAACTAGCATTTATGTATCATTGGATTGTGAAAGTAGTATCTTACAAGGGACACTCACGGCCTGTCGTTCGTGACCGGAGTACCCACTATGTTTTTTTAGAATCTACTAGGACCCAAGATGAAGGATCAATTCGTATTTCCGTGTAAAACTCATATTTGGCGCCTCTGGCGTGATCTGTTGGGTATGTATTTAATACAAGTACATAGTATGCATGCTGATAAAAAACAACTGACGTTATGACTTTAGTTGTTTTCCAAACTGCGTACAGCATGGTGCATTAAATTGCGAAAGGGGTATTTCGATTGCCAGTCATGAAAGGTCGAAGTCAAAGTCATTGAAAATGTGATTACAAAATTGGTTACACAATTTAGTGCGTTCGAGATAAGTTTCGCTGCCAAATAATTAAATCTATAATAATAGAATAAAAAATGCTGAAAAAGTGGTGCAACATTGGATTGGGAAGTTTTACTTTCTAACACGTTGTTACATAGACTGTAGTTAAATTTGGTAAATTTAAGGTTGCAGCAGTTAAATTATTATTTTTTGTACCGTTGAATTATTTTTGGAATTACCAGTGTATAATTTAATAAATAATGCGCTCTAGCATGTAATTATTTTAGCAAGAAATCAACTTAGCCCTACATGAATTCACGGAATAATTAAGTAATTTGCTTTCTGGCTTATTGAAATTACATATCGTCGGACTAATTCGAAAACAACCTAAGTGACTTCGTTTCTTAATTCGAAAACAACCTAAGTGACAATAAAAACTATAGCTTTTACTGTCACTTAGGTTGTTTTCGAATTAAGAAGCGAAGTCACTTAGGTTGTTTTCGAATTAAGAAACGAAGTCACTTAGGTTGTTTTAGAATTAGTCCGACGATATTAAGAAAATCCATGTACTTTATTCACCATAATTATTAATTCGTAGACGGAAGCGCCAATCAATTGTGCATGGAAATTCCACCATGCCTGGGACATACCAAAATAAAAATAACGGAAGATGTACAATTTTAGGCATTATATAGAGCTGAATAGGACATAATGATAGCGGCACATGTATTATAGCTTCTCCTTAACCCGAATTATTCATTTAATTTACTCAACTTTCCAAACAGCGTATGGAATGCGGACGTCATGATCATAACATAACGACAATGTTACATTAATTTTTTCAACTTCAGTAATTTTCGCATCCCATACACCCACATCTTTAATTGTGCTCGACATTCTACAACCAGAAATATCATAGGTAATGAAAACGAGCCGGCAAAAATTATAAAAGCCGTTAAAAGCGATCCCGTAATTGAAACGATTGGTGCTTTGTCCCATTCTTCTTCCTTTTTACGTATAGCGGGCTTCCTATTAAGTAAGCTATTCCGCCACTGTTCGATTTCCAACCTGCTGTAGATTCCCGACTCAAACAGAATTCTATAATGTGTTGGAACCTTCGAAACCCCACTGTTATAAAAATCGAATCCTATAGGTGTGCTATAGATGATCTCGTCCCCTTTATAGAATTGTATCCAATGATAGTGCTTCCGTAGGAAACCCAACTCTATATTCACGGTTTCCAAATCGCTTGTAAAAACCGTTTTGTCGCAAGAGATTATTTCTGTTTCCACAAGTTTCCGAAAACTTTCCTCCTTGAATGCGCTTGAGTTCGTGCCAACTCCAGCAGGATGATGTGAATGAACTGGATTCAGCAAATTGAAGGTCAAGGTCGCCAGTGTGTTTGGAAAGTGGAGAGTCGATGCCTTCTTTACGTTGAGGCCAGGGTATAGAAGCCGCATATGAGTAACAGCAAGAAGAAAGTCTGGTACATTGTTTTCAAACCCACTTGGGATTAAATTTGACAATATCTTAAAGCAGTCTGCATCTTCGAATTGCCTCCCCAACAAATATGATACTCCGCGGAATCTCCAGGAAGTATAGTAACTCCGCAAATATTCCCTATGCCGGCTGAAATCAAGATTCGTGAAGTTTCCGAAAGTCTTCAGAACATGGTCAGGATTTTGGTTATTGCCCATGATTTTTGGACATACTAGGTCCGAAAATGTTTTGAGCTTTCCCCCCTGCAGGGGAGCGTTCAGTTCGGTTGTCATAATTCCGTTGTAGCAATTTGTCAATATAACTGACATTAAACACCACAATCCCATGGTCAACCGAAAAAATTGTTTCCTTTCAATGTCCGCGGGCACACCGTAACCTTCTTCTAGAACAGTTGACAACATGAACAACCATGTCGGAAACTCGGACAGTTTAGCGCAGTGGATATAAATCGTCATGATTAAAATCAATACCAATAAGCATGTTGTAATGCCAAGCCATAATTCTGGTTCAAAAGGTGTAATATAAAACAAGAAGGATATATACTTCTCAATATAGCATGAGAAATAGGTATAGCCACTAAATTTTCCGATCACTGGGATGTTTTCGTCAGGGTAGAAACTTGTATGGTGATATACCGTCGCCAATCGTTCGTCAGGAGAAATCGTTTCTGGATAAACAGTTACGTTTAATCTACTAAATATTACAAATGCCAACTGTTCGAAAAATGCATATTTGGGATTACTTGCAAATGGATTTTGGAAGATACATCGTTATCATTCCTGAATGTACGAGATACCAATGTTTTGGGGGTGCTGCTACCTGGTAAAAAGTTGAGACAATGTTTCTGACGCTTTCTGTGCAAATTATTTTGCACCAATCCGGTATAGACCATAA